GTGTTACCGCATACAACCACGGACATGATGCTAGAGGCCATCTCGACGTTCAAGTGGAAGACGGCAGCCGGACCTTCGAGGATCCAGCCTAGATCGCTGTGCTTCCTGGGAAGGCAAGGGTTGGACGCGATGGCTTCGTTCTTCATGAAGTGCGAGTGCCTACTTGCATGGCCAGCGGGACGCGCCCATTCTGAGATGGCTCGAATTCCGAAGGATGGTGGAGGTACTCGTCTGGTGGCGCTGATCCACACTATTGTGCGAGTGTGGGCCAGAGTACGACGCCCCCTTATCACGGCAGTGGCTGAAGAAGTTCCCCTCGGAGATGATGTGGGGAAACAGGCAGGGTTATTCGTCATCGGGCTCTGCGTTTCTCCACAATGCCACGGCTGCAATGTCTAAGCTGCTTGGGGGGGGGGCACTCGATTACGGTTACGATGGGTATGTGGAAGTGCGTTGACACGGTGAAGGTGTCCAGTCTCTTTGGTGAAGCGCGTGAAGTGGGATTCCCGTTGCGTTTGCTGTGGCAGCTGGTCACCTCATACAAGATGCCGAGGGCGGTAAAGGCTTTTGGCTCGATCTCTTACATGCGCGAGGTGGAGCAAGGTATTCTTCCTGGCTGCACCCATGCGACTACTCTGCTCACAGTGCTGGTGATTCGCACGCTGATCAGTGCACATGAGATTTGCCCCACAGTGCACCCTCGGGCATTGGTTGATGATTGTACCTTGCAATGGGTTGGCCAGGACCTACATGGGATGACCGAGCTGATCAAGGCCACCAGGATCTTCAAGAGTGGCATGCGAAGCCTGGGGTTACTTGTTCAACCTGCGAAGTCAGGATACGTGGGCACAACTCGTGCTGCGATCAAGAAATTTATTCCATGGGCTAAGATGTTGAGGCTCACTCGAAGGAAGCAGATGCGCAATCTTGGGCATGACATGGTCGGAGGCAAGGTGATCCGCACGGTGGCCAAGAGTCGTCTGGGCAAACTGCAGAAGAGGATGGGTCGCGTCAAAGTGCTCCAAGCGGCTGCAGGATCCAAAGTGGGGGCCATTTGGCGGTCTGGTCTGCTTGCTGGTGCTGCACATGGAAGCTCTGTTTCAGGAGCGCCTGATTGCGACTTGAAGCAGTTACGGCAGACGGCTGGGGTGATAGCGGGAGTCCATGCTAGGGGCGTCAGTGTCACGACTTATCTGGCCACGCAGAGGGACAAGTACATGGATCCGATTTTCGATGCGACGCTCAACATGGTGTACATGTACGCTTGCTTTGTGTTCGACGTGCGCTTGGATATGGGCAGACTCGAGCGGTCCTGGCGTGGGTTGCAGGCTCTTTGGTTTGGACGTGATCCAGGATGGTAGGGCGTTCGAGGTCCCATCGCGGCCACGCGGCTATCTCTTCGACGTGCGGGGTGGGACATGGCCAACAGCACCTCCATCGTCAGCGACACTGGCATGGTCATTTCGCTGTTGAGAATGCCTCCCAAGGGTGTTCGCAAGTTACTACGGCTCGGTAGGCAGCGTTGGCAAGGACGGAGGACTCTTGAGCACCATTCGGAACATCTTGGAGGTAATGAGACGGTGTGGATGCGGGCAGTCAACCTAACGGTGGGAGGCAAGGCGGCCACTATTCAAAATGCCCAGGTCGCTGGTGTCCTACGGTGCTTGTGGGCTGGTGGATACATGCCTGTGCAGAAGAGGCACCAGCGCGGATGGTTGAGCACGCCCCTTTGCCCGCATCCCGACTGCCGCCAGCGAGGGGCCGTTGGAGACCTTGGTCATCTTTGGTATGCGTGCCCGAATTTGCTTGAACAGAATGATGCTGGCGGCCTGCCAGCCTGGACTGATGAGTTGGAAAAAACACGTGATCGTCTGTCTGAGGAAGGAGGCAATGCTTTGGGGCAGGATAGTTTTCATCTGCTTAAATTTTGCATTGGGCTCCCCCAGGCCCCCCCTGTGCTCCCCTCTCCGTCCTCCGAGCCTCCCACCTTCTTCTGGGGAGACTGGGGGTCGAAGCCTGAGAGCTGGGGGTCCCATTGCGTTTTTTTGACGGGTCAGGCATGCACAGCTCTTGGCCTGAATTTCGACGTTGTGGGTGTGCAGATGGGAGACTTTGGTCTCCCTGTTAGGGCTGCGTATGGCCCTCTCCCAGGGCCCATCCAAACGGTCGGCCGATCTGAACGATATGCGCTTTTTCGGGGGCTTCAGTTGCTGCCGCGTTGAGTGATTCTGTCTCGGATCTCCTGGGGGCGGTGCGTGAGGGGGTCGAATGGTCGGAGGAGCATGCCTCTGCCTCGGCGGCCCACGCTGACATGTGGAGGAAAATATGTCGTGCTGCTCATGGCCGTTCTAATCCCAAGATGCCCTCTTTTGCTTGGGTGCCCGCCCACCTCACGTTGGATGAGTTCCTTGAGCGTGATCAGTGGCCTGTGTCCTGGTGGTTTGGTAACATGTGGGCGGACGTCTTTGCCAAGGTAGGAGTCAGGTCTCATAAGGTCGCTGACTCGTTTGTGGAGTATTGGGCCGACCAGTTGGCGACTGGTCGGAACAATGCTAAGCTTTTTGGCTGGGCAGCTGCCCAGCATGCCGCACATAAGGAAGTGGTGGGGGGGGCAGATGCAGGCCCTTCGTGAGGCAGACGTTGCTGCTGTAGATCGCCACCTCGCCTTGTCTCTTTTTCGATTCCAGGAGCATGATTTCTGGAAATCTGGTGAATGCATCGTTTGTCGTTCCTGTCTGGCCAGAGCCAAAACGGAGGCTTCCATAAGGTGGCTTACCCAAGGTTCTGGGCGCGAGTGTAACCCCTCCCCTCTCGTGCGTGAGCGAGCTCGACTGGCCTTTTCAAGTGACGGGCTGTACGCTGCCGCCGTCCCCCTGGCCAGGCCTGAGGCTGTCCAGACCGCGATGTTTGGTGCTTCTGTGTTCCTGGGGACTGGGGGTCCTGGTGCGGGGCCCCTTGGTGGCTCCGGTCAGCCTGAGGTTGGACTGGCCTCAGCGCCCAGGCCTAGGGAGGGGGAGGAGGTGAGTCAGTTTGAGTGCTTCACAGCACTCGGCCATGTGATGGAGCAGGTAGGGCCCTACATCTTCTGCACGGCCTGTGGCTCATACTGTGCCCACAGGCTTGGGCCCAAGCTCAGAGCGATTTGCCAGCCCCCGAGTTCGGGGGTCCTCCCTGTCAGTGTGAGGAGGTCTCTTGCCTACATTCGGGATAGTTTGCACCCGAAGACAGGTTCCAAGCTCAAAGGGGTCCCCCCTGTTGAGTGAGTTTGTTTGGCCCCCGTCCCCCCTGTCGCGGTCGTGTCGCCCTGCCCCCGCCGCATACGTCTACTATTTCAACGTGTGGTTGGCGCTGGAGGACTAGGCGCCGACGCGACTCGGGTTCGGTGACGGGGCCGCCCGTCATATCGAGGCGCCTGCGGGAGACTAGCTGGCGCCTCCTGGCTTGTTCCCTTGTTCCCTCCTCCTCCTCCTCCTCCTCCCCATCCTCCTCCTCCTCCTCCTCCTCCTCCTCCTCCGTTTCCTCCTCCTCCTCCTCCTCCTCCTCCTCCTCCTCCTCACCATCCATATCATCATCGTCATCGCCATTGTCATCATCATCATCATCATCATCATCATCATCATCATCATCATCATCATCATCATCATCATCATCATCATCATCATCATCATCATCATCATCATTCATCATCATCATCATCATCATCATCATCATCATCATCATCATCATCATCATCATCATCATCATCATCATCATCATCATCATCATCGTCATCATCATCATCATCATCATCATCATCATCATCATCATATCATCATCATCAGCATCAACATCATCATCATCATCATCATCTCATGATCATGATCATCATGATCATCATGATCATCATCATCATCATCATCATCATCATCATCAGCATCAGCATCAGCATCAGCATCAGCATCATCATCATCAGCGTCATCAGCATCATCAGCATTATCAGCATCATCATCATCATCATCACCACCACCACCACCCTCCTCCTCCGCCTCCTCCTCCTCCTCCACCTCCTCCTCCTCATCATCACCATCACCATCACCATCACCATCATCATCATCATCATCATCATCATCATCAGCGTCATCATCATCATCAGCGTCACCAGCGTCATCAGCAGCAGCATCATCATCAGCATCAGCATCAGCATCATGATCATCATCATCATCATCATCATCATCATCATCATCATCATCATCATCCTCATCATCATCATCAGCATCATCATCAGCGTTATCAGCGTCATCGTTATCATCATCACCACCACCATCCTCCTCCTCCTCCTTCTCCCTCGTCCTCCTCCTCCTCTTTCACTTCCTCCTTCTCCTCCTCACCATCCATATCATCATCGTCATCGTCATCATCATCAGCATCATCAGCATCAGCAGCAGCAGCATCAGCAGCATCATCATCATCATCAGCATCATCAGCATCATCACCAGCAGCAGCATCGTCATCATCATCATCGCCATCATCATGATCGTCGTCGTCATCAGCATCATCATCAACATCAGCATCATCGTCATCATCATCGTCGTCATCACCATCATCATCATAATCAGAATCAGTATCATCAGTATCATCATCAGCATCGTCATTATCATTATCATCATCATAATCAGTATCACCATAATCGTCAGCATAATCATCATCAGCAGCAGCATCATCATCACAAGCACCACCACCACCATCAACATCATCATCACCAATATCATTAGCATCACCATTATCATCATCATCATCATCATCATCATCATCATCATCATCATCATCATGACCATCGTCATCATCATCAACAGCATCATCATCAGCATCATCATTATCCGCATCGTCATCAGCATCATCACCATCACCATCATCACCATCATCACCATCATCATCACCCTCGTCAATATCATCATCAGCATCATCACTATCACCGTCGTCATCATCGTCATCATCCTGAGCCCCCACCCTTCCCAGGGCGCCGGCGCTGGGCCCTCGTCGGCCACGGCGGCAGCCCGCGCGCCGTCAGGCGGCTTCGGCGAGGCGGCCTCCCGCGCAGGGCCCCCGCTGGACGTCCGGCGCGTCGTCGTTGTCGTCGTCGTCGGCGTCCGCGTCGTCGTCGTCGTCGTCGGCGTCCGCGTCCGCGTCGTCGTCGTCGGCGGCGTCGTCGGCGTCGGCGTCCGCTTCGTCGTCGTCGGAATCGTCAGCGTCGTCGTCGTCGTCGTCGGCGTCCGCGTCGGCGTCGGTGTCGGCGTCGGCGTCGGAGTCGGTTTCCTTTCCTCAGCTCCGCCCTTCGGACCCCCCGCGGATTGGGGTCTGGAGCCCTCCTGCGCGAACCCCTCAGGCCGCCCTCACCCTCCTCTTCATTCTTCTCCCCTCGCCACAAGGTGATTTCCAAGACGGCACAAGATGCACCCTAAATGGCCGCAAAATGGCCCAAGACGGCCCGGAGGCCCCCAAGGGGCCTCCAAGACGGCCAAAAAGGCCTCCAGGAGGTCGTCATGAAAGGCCCGAACAAAGCTAAAATCAGTGATTCTCTTAGGGTTGTTGAAGGATGTTGGCTTTGGCTCCTTTTCGGCGTCCGACGGCCCAAGACGGCCCAAGAGGTCCTAAAGATCGTCCCAAGATCACACTCGAGGCTTCCAAGATGGCCGCATGACGGCCCAACAGGCCCCAAGACGGCCGCCCCGAGATGACCTCCAGGACAGCGAAGTTCGTTTCCAAGACAAACACGATGGCCACACCACAGCCCAAGATGGCCACGAGCCGAGATGCCCCCAAGATGGCCAAAGATGGGCTCAAGATCCTCCAAGACGGCCCGATTGGCCTCCAAGACGGCCCCAGAGGCCTCCAAGATGACCTCCAGGAAGGCCGGAAGGGGCCAAAATCATTGAGTATCCTACGTTCGGGTGTGCGAAAGATTTGGGCGCTTGCTCATGTTCGACTTCCCGACGGCGCAAGACGGTCCCAAACGCCACCAAGATGGCCCCAACAGCGCCCAACGGGCCTTCGAAATGCCACCCCTGATGGCCCGAGAGGCCGCCTAAGACGGCCCCAAAAAGGCCACAAGATGGCACAGGAAACCTCCAAGACGTCCAAGATGGGGCCAGCGATTGCATCCTGCAGCCGATGGTTCGCGTGCTTCCCATGGGTTGGAGCTGGTCCTTACTCTTCTGCCAAATCATCCTGTGGAGGGCCCTCGTTCGGAACGAGTTCAGCGACGGCAGCCTACTAGAGGATGACCGACCGAGTCCTGTGCTTCACTCTCGGGACTGTGTAGCTGCAGCAGGCTACGTCGACAACTTCGCCGTCGTGGGGAGCGATGCGGCCGTCGTCACCGAAAAGAGGGATGAGATCACCCGCACCTTGGAGGACTGGGGCCTGCCCGTGCACGCTATCGATGAGGCTTCGTCCGTGTCCATCTTCACGGGGCTCGAGATCAACGGTGCGAAGGGCACCGTGAGGGTGAAGCCGACCTGCATCCTGCAGCTTCGGCAGGCGATCCTGGCGGTTTTGCGGCGAGGGGCTGCGTCGCCTCGCACTCTCGAAGTACAGTACTGCTGGGTCACATCAGATGGGCGATGATTTGTAAAAGAGAGACTCTTTCCACTATGCCATCCGTGTACGCCTTCAAGTCTCAGAAATATCCTGGTGTGAGACCCCTGTGGAGCTCGGTGAGATTCGAGCTTTAGTGTGTCGCTAGTACGTTGCCTCCCTGGACCTCGTACCCGAACATTCCGTGGGGCACGTGGGTCTCGGCTTCAAATGCTTCTCCTATCGGTATCGGCGTATGCATTCGTCAACTGGTGGGGCCTCATGTGGCCGATATTGGGAGCCAGGCGGAGAGGTGGATGTACCTGTATACGTCAGCGGTTTCAGCACGGGCTAACGCTCTGGGCCTGGACGGGCCCCACGACGTCGAGGATGTCGTGGAGGCTGTCGTCAAGGACGGGGTCGAGGCGCCCGACTTAGAGGACAAGGCCCCCCCCCCTTCGACAAGGGTTTCCACGAGGTTCCCGAGGACATCATGCAGGCCTCGTCGTGGGCCACCGTCATCTCCAGAAGGCACTGGGGCCCCAGCAAAATATTCTAGAGCACGAGGGTGACGCCTCATATGATGCTGTTCGGCACGCGTCGCGTAACATTTCTCTTCATCATCACCGTCATCTGTTTCTTGTCGATAGTTTACCTATACGACCACCCTTCGGGTGATAAATAGGTTGTAGGGGGGGGGGGCGGGGAGAGGGGGGGAACCAACATCTGACTCAACCGATCTCACTATCGATCTCACTCAACGGGACACCACGGGACACCACGGGACACCACGGGACATCACGGAACACTTGTCGATCTCACTATCGATCTCACTATCGATCCCACTCTCACCCAACGGGACACCACGGGACACCACGGGACACCACGGGACACCACGGGACATCGCGGGACACCTCTCGATCTCCCTATCGGTCTCACTATCGATCTCACTATCGACCTCACTCAACAGGACACCATAGGACACCACGGGACACCACGGGACACCTCGGAACACCACATCGATCTCACTATCGATCTCATTCAACGCGACACCACGGGACACCACGGCACACCACGGGACACCTGTCGATCTCACTATCGACCTCACTATCGATCTCACTTGTTGCGACACCACGGGACACCACGGGACACCTCGGGGAACCACATCGATCTCACTATCGATCTCACTAGCGATCTTACGATCGATATCACTATCGATCTCACTATTGATCTCACTATCGATCTCCCTATCGATCTCACTCAACGGGACACCACGGGACACCACGGGACACCACGGGACACCTGTCGACTCACTACCGATCTCACTATGGATCTCATTCAACAGTACACCACGGGACACCACGGGACATCTCGGGGCACCACATCGATCTCAGTATCGATCTCACTGCCGATGTCACTACCGATGTCACTATCGATCTCACTGTCGATCGCACTTTCGATCTCACCCAACGGGACACAACGGGACACCACGGGACACCTGTCGATCTCACTATCGATTTTACTATCGATCTCACTGTCGATCTCACTATCGATCTCACTCAACGGGACACCTCGTGTGTATGGGGTTGAAGTACAAGGGTACAGAACCCCTGATCCGTTGGTAGAGGGAAGGAGGGATAGATGGATGTCTTTCCCTCCTGCACGATTAAAGGTCTGATCGATCTGTCCCAATACCTGAGCCCAAACGGCCAGGCGCAGGAGAGGTGAGGATAAGGAGTCTATATGAGGGTATTACACGGGTTCTATTCACACCCCCCGTCCCGAATCCCGCCCGTGAGGGTAGGACTCGGGAACAGAGGAAAAGAATACGTCACCCTTTTACTCCGTCAATCCTCATCCTCAGGTCTGCAGGCAGCTGAGCTCAAAGTCAGTAGAGTCTCAGCTGCAAAGAAAGGTAAGAAGGAACACCCTGGGTCCCGATTTCTTCGCCAAGCACGCTTTGGCGCCCCCTCGGTGCGCCCCCCACAACGCTTCGGCACTCGAGGGCGGAGAAGAATGAGACACGGGTGGGCGGAGAAAGAGGATCTGAACAATAAAGCAACTTGTAATCTGCCTCGCCTTTGCGAGGCAGGCGTTGCCACCAGCAGTCAGACTATTCTCAACGCAATGTAGTTATACTGTAATGAATATGCATGCTGAGATCGCGTTGATGAACACGATCGCGCTACGAAACGCAACTATATATAAAAGCAAATGTCTGGCCAGACGAAATGTCGTGTTGACAAACACGAAAGTTGCATGTATGTAAATTCTATATGGCGACTCCCGTTGGCGTTGCTCCTTAGGGGGCTGCCTTGGTTATCGCAAAATATGTTTTTATGTGTGGCCACTTGTGTTGTATAGTGAAGTGGCCTAGAAGTATATAATAGCCACCGCTCTAGGCGAATCTGGATGATAATGAAGTTCAAGCCTTTCGAGCGGTGGGCCTTGCGGTCGACTCACTACGCGTTGCCTTTCTCGTAGAACCTGCGGCCCCACGTCCTGTGGCCATCGTACGTCACGTAGCTCGTCGCGAACGCCTCCCAAGATGTCCCCTGGATCCAGTGACGAAACCACTTGTTGTACTGGATGTTGCGGATGTATACGAACTCGTCGTTGTTCAACGCGATGTAGATCCAGCAGCTGATGTAGTAGCTCCAATACCTGAGGCCCCAGTGACTGTCCTCAAGGTCGTCGCGCCACCAGGCGGCGCAGTCTGTCGCACGCGCTCTCTTGGCACGCGGCCCCGCGGGCATGTGGTCCGCCGCGCCAGAGGCGCTGGACTGTGCAGCATCGCCAGGGACAGGGCGCGGCGGCGGCGGCGGATGGCGCGGCTCCATGGCATCATCAGACTGATGGGAGCGTGTATCAGGTTCGATTGGATCGGTTCTCATCCCTGAATCAACCCCCCTCTGGTCGGTGCGTGTCGGATCGGGGGAGCCCAACAACTCGTTAGCAATCGCAGCAAGCTTGCGCTGCGTGACTTTCTCACGGGTGCCATCCCTTCTAGGGAGGGCAATCGTGACAAGTCCGCGAGCTTGACGCGTTTGTCTGTCGAGTCTGCCCTCGTTCAACCACCATTTCTTCCGACCAGCTTGGCCTGTCCTGATGCTGGCATCGAGGATCGTACATGCATCACGCATGTCGTCCACGTTCCAGGCCTTCTTGCCCACGTTCACGCGAGCGCCTGTCATTTGGTGGTGGAACTTCAAATCATTGAGAAAACGCTGAACGAGATTGGCATATGGGTAGCACAGAGGTCTGTCGTCATCAGCCTCGCCTATCAGTCTGCACTCGCGTGCAGGAGGGCAGCCAGAGTCGACCCACTTCTGATACATCTTCCTAGAGGAATTCGCAACTCTCCTCAGCGAGTCTTTCTCATTACCTGGGAATGAGCGCGCGCCCGTCATGATGACTTGCGCTCCGTCTTTCATGTACCTCGTGATGTCATCCTGGGAGAGCGTCATCTTGATCCAGTTTGTCAGCTTGTGGAGGTATGCTAGGTCGCTCTGGA